CATTAGCATTAGCATTAGCATTAGCATTAGCATTAGCATTAGCATTAGCATTAGCATTAGCATTAGCATTAGCATTAGCATTAACATTAGCATTAACATTAACATTAGCATTAACATTAGCATTAACATTAGCATTAACATTAACATTAACATTAATATATTAGTTAATGCATAAATAAATATATATATATTTATGTATATATAGATAGTTATTATTCTTTAGTTCTTTAAGTTCTTTAGTTCCTTACGTAGTATAGTCTATATAGTATAGTCTGGTTTAAATAAAAAATCAATTCCTCTCTAAACCAATTAACTATTATTAAGTAAACTAATTAACTATTATTAAGTAAACCAATTAACTATTATTTGTATCATGATGACTTGCAGTAATTCCACTAAGTGTAGCTCCATAATTGGGGGTTGTAATTGTTGCTCGACGAAGACTTGGATTTTTATGAACAATGACATTAATATTAGGTGTGATAAATATTGGTTCTCCTGCTGTGCCTAATTCGATAAAAATCTCCTATAACAATGTTACCGTAACGAATTCAAATTTATTAGCATATAAATAAAAATAAATAAATAAATAAATAAATACTATATCTGTATTTTGGGTTAATTAATCACAAATTACCAATTTAACAGGTCGTAAGACATTCATGGTAGAGCATATCCGATTTGATAATTCATTGGTTTCGTTAACTACATTCAGCTTCCAATTAATATTCTTAACATTATCTTCTCGGTTAAATTTCTGTATTAATCCCATTAATGCTGATAATTGCTAAATCGTTTAATTATCAAGATATGTAATATACATGCGTAATAAAAAAAAAATTATCATTTAGACTTCTATGTATCGATTAATGTATTAATGTATTAAGTGCTATTTATCTCTTTTTAATCAATATTTTTTTTTATCAACTTACCGATCTTGGCCTTAAAATATAGTTAAAAAAGCTGATACAAAGGAATCCTATAATTCCAATAAGGCATCCTATACCAAAGAAATATCCATCAACTGTTAATTTAGCTACTATAGGAATTCCTACTAAAATTGTCACCGGTAATATGTATTTTACGAATTTTCCTTCTATATAAAGTCGAGATGTAGCATTAAATTGGGCGATACGATTGTTAAATTGAGTGATAGTGAACTGTTTTTGTAAATATGTTAATAAATGTTATAAATGTTATAAATGTTGTTATAAATGTTGTTATAAATGTTGTTATAAATATCATAAATGTCATAAATGTCATAAATGTTAATAAATGTTATAAATGTTATAAAAAAGTTACAATAACTCTTACATACATATCCTTGATAAATAGTTGGTGAATAATCCGTATGAACTTGTCCGTCAATTACTGGAAGTTTTACTGTCCGAACCATTCTGTTCTTACTTCTCGTTTTGTGTACTGAATGTTTTCTCTAATTTATAAACAAATAAAAAACATACAAAATAATTCAAAATAATTCAAAATAATTCAAAATAAAAAATAAATGCTAATTGATTTATTCGAATTAAATTTTATTGTCGTTATAGGACACAAGAATAAAGCTTCAAATATGAACGAATGATAAATGAATGCCGATACGCCATATTATTTATTATATATATAAGTATGTATTACTATATTTATATTTTATATATATCAAAATGGAAGTCATTGATATCGCTATATATGTTTATTTAAATGTGTAATATTCATATAGTATACGCATCCTTGAAACTCACGCGTAAAACTAATGATCTTCTGCAGATTTGGTCTTGGCTTATTGATTTGATTTTTTATTAAATTAAATGATTTCCTAACTAAATGATATTTCTATTACTACATATCGATATCTGATATTGATTTTGGATTTACGTACTGTATGTACGTATGTACGTATGTACGTATAACGTACGTACGTACTCTTTTTTTTATTAATACCAGATACGAATATTACTCAAGCTGACATAAACTGACGTATCAATTTAAAAAAATAGGTTATGCGAGTGCCAGGTATGGTACGACTAAATTATAGTGTCGGCTAAGGACACAAGCATAACTCAATCCTTGTAAGGTAAAGGGGGCATTGTCGTTATTTAGATGGAGTAAGGGTAATGTCAAAATAGTTGAGTGGCTTGATTCCGTTCACTACATTCACATTCACTACATTCACTACATTCACTACATTCACTACATTAAATTCATTCCGTCATATCACTCCCATCTTTGTCACTATATATTATCATTCAATTTTTTACTTAATAATAAGAAATCTATTAATTTTTGATTCGCACAATAGAATTAATAATATTATTTTAATTAATAAACTTTATTCCGAATCGGACATAATGCTAACTTTAGTATTGTACTGTCACCTTATAAACCGAACCTGAATTTATTATTACTTTATAAATTTTATGTAACTGACTTTAAAAACTTGTCAAGTTCGGTTTAAAAATATCTGACTTTAAAAACTTGTCAAGTTCGGTTTAAAAATATCTGACTTTAAAAACTTGTTCGGCTTAAAAAATAATTGATTTTAAAAATTTTTTAAGTTTGGCTTAAAAATATACCATATCGATATTTTTTTGTCCTAAATTTTTTTAAACCTGTTTCTATGAAAGTTCAGATGTTACGGTATTAGCTTTATTGAGCTCTATTTATTTTTTGTGTTCTACCACAATAAAGATTTGCTGTGTTATACGTATTTACGTTTAGTTATTATAATAATTATTAATAATTATAATAATTATGATAATTATAATAATTATAATAATTATAATAATTATAATAAATTATTATTTTTATGTATATATTAAAAATTACGTTTTCTTCATTTTAAAATGGTTTCACAAGACCTATTTAAAAATCAGTTTACTCTTACGTATTACTATTTTCTTGTACATGTTTGTCTGGTTAATCAAAATTTGCATTCTTTAATTGGTTTGCTTTTTTAGAGTTTTTATTGTCGAAACGAATAGTGTTGCCAACAATTACGTGTACATCCTTACAAAAACTAATGTCAGGGATCATTTGATAACCTGATTAAGAT